TGTTTATTCTATTAATAATTTTAACTCTATTAATATGCCACTTTAAACTCAAAAATGTTTTCCCGTCTCTGAATGTCCCTCATATGCCGCCGTATAGCCACCCTGCCTAAAAACGGACGGATTCCAGATGTTTATGATCATAAAGGAAATCTGAAGTTATCAAGCTAAAGAAATCACAGTAATAGACTTTAAATATTTATATATTTGGTTTATTTATTAATGACTAATTCAGGCAGTTAAACCTCCTTTCTATCTGATATTATTGTAAGTCTGAGGAGCTTATTTCCTCCAGCAGCCGCCCCCCTGCAGCCCCCCTCCCTGGACAATCCACACCCCGACCCCCACCACCAGAACCACTTTAGCCCCCAGAGACAGCAGCAGCAAGAGAAGAAGAAGCGCCGGCGTCTCGGTGGAAGAGGGCAGAGGTCGGGGGTGCAGGACGTAGAGGGCGGCCTGATCTTTGCCCAGCGGGTTGGAGGCGCTGCAGGTGTACTGCTGCCCGGGCTCCACGTCCCGCAGCTGGCTGACCGTGTGGTATCGACCCGGTGAGTCCAGCGCCATCGGCTCCACGGACGAACCCTCCAGCAGGTCATCGGGGCCCAGCCACTGGACGTCAGGCAGCGGCGAACCCTGGACCCGACACAGAGCTCTGTACCCCGACGGCTCACTGCCCTCCACGGACAGGACCAGGATCTTTGGAGGAGCTGCAGTGCAGAAAGAGACGCAGCTTTAGATCAGAGACTTCACAATTTACAAGGAAATAGATTAGCTTCTATTTACACAGAAATTTATTGTAATAATCAGAAAAAATATTCTGCAGAAATCTGAACCACTGGTTTGTTTGAGAGCATCTCCAATCTGATCCCAGTAAGTCATACAAACGTTTCCACTAACCTTTTCTCTTCAGGTTAGAATGAACAGAATCAATACGTGAACTGAACAGTTTTTCTTTTAGAGGAAAGTCAAACAGATTTCCTCCGTGTGAAACAAAACATTTTGCTTCTATGCCCATGAATTCCTCCCAAATTTCTCCTCAGCACTAAACACCCACAGCATAATGCTGCCAACACCATACTTCACGGCCACAATCCTGCCTCAGGCTTCTTAGTAGGGGTGTAAATAATAATCGTTTTGTATCGATGCATCGATCCAACAGCCAACGATCCGATGCATCGATACGTCCGCAAGGTCTATTTTTATCCATTTGCTCCTGGGCGTAATTCTCCTCCCGTGCTGCGGTGGCGCTAAACCCATTCTGTGGAGAGGGTGGGACGTCTGGAGCCGAAGTATTGCATTGCACTCATTGCACTGATTTTCTGCAGTATTTTTGCAGTATTTTTTGAACTTTTCTACTTCTGTTATTTGCTGTTGTTTCTAAAAAAAAAAGCACAATATTACAGCTTTCATTGATTTATTTCAAACTTGAAACTTTGTTTAGTCTGTAAGGTCTAAAAATAAAAAAAAACAACAACAAATTAATCGATTAATCGAATCGTATAGTGGTGTATTCTTGAGTATCGAAAATAATCGAATCGTTGGGTCAGGGAATCGATACTGAATCGAATCGCCATGATGGGCGTGATTTACACCCCTACTTGTTAGCATCGCCCTTTTCCTCCAGACATTTCAGCCTTACATTCATCAGTTTATTGGTCACGTCTCCTTATAATTAGAAGTGATTCAGGACTAGTTGGATCTATACCAGAATGGAGCAGAGCGCCGCGCATTCCCCTTCCAATCAGGAGCATCGTTGAAGACCTCTGCTATAGAGTCAAAGGAAGTGAGACCGTTCAGCAGTGAAACATCCTCGGATGTTTTGGACCCTACCTTCCACTCGCAGCCTGGTCCCCATTTTATCCTCAAAGCTGACGTGTTCTTTCCCCTGAACCTCCACCCTGCAGTAGTACCGCCCGTTGTCCAGCAGGGTGGCACTGTTGATGCGTAGCGACAGGTCGTGCTCCCTCGGGTTGCCCTCCAAACGGTAACGTTGGTCCTGCTCTGGACCCGCTTCACAGACGGGGGCCCCGGGCCGGCTGGTGCAGCGAAACAAGACGATGGCGGTCGGCCCGTGGCCCAGGCGCCACAGCACCTGCAGCAAGGAATGCTGGGAGTGCTTGGGGTGGCTGAAGGTGCAGGGCAGAACCACCGGGTAGCCGTCGATACCTCGCACCTCCGATTGGACCTTCATGGACCAGCTGTCGTCACCGGAGACCAAAGCTGCAGGGAAACACAATTAGAACTGGGAGCCTCTTTCATTTAAAGGAAGAAACGTTTCTGTGTAAAAACGTTAAAAAGAAGATTTTTTACCATTACTAAAACGGTTTTCTAGATCATTCAGTTTATGAGAGGCAATGTTTGTGATCTTCATTCTGCTGTTAGGTCTGTCGGGGGGGATTTACCTTAAGGCAATACTAGGCAGATGCCCCCAAGTTCCTGGGGGCCCCATAAAACTCAGTTTACATGTATGGTTAATACAACTATCCCTAATTTGTGCACATACAT